CACCACATAATCCTAGGAACATGAGCTTTGACCAACTGGAGCGAGAAAAAAACTCTCAACTCTCTTCTATTCTGAAAATCTAAATGTTCTTCCCTATAAGGTCTCAAGATCTCTCAAAACCACTAAATTTCATAAATATGCAGAATACATGTAAATGGGGCACAATGGGTCATGCACAACTAGCACAAATGATAAAGAGAGGCAGGGATAATTTCCATAAGCCACAGGCAGTTTGCTGTAAAAGCAAAGCAAAGTTGCGTATCCTCCAAGGGCAAACTTATCTGGCCTCTTTTGTGGATCCAGCCCAGAGTCTCACACATGCTAGGCAAGTGTTCCGTCACTAAGCTACATTTCCAGCTCAGAAGTATATATTTAAATTAAATCAGATCATATTGCTCTCTGGGCTCAGACACCCCTAATTGCTTTCTCTCTCAGGATAAAATCCAGGCCACTCCATGCCTATGAGACCCTATAGGATCTGGTCCTCTGTGGCTCTCTGCTGTGTTCTGCCATTACATTCCACTTTAGTGACACTACTCAAGGCACACTGGCCTCTGGGCTGCTTCCTGCATACAAGCACATTGCCACTTTGGGCCCTTTCCATTTCCCATATCCTGGATCCACAACAATCTCCCTCTGGCCTGCTTGCTGTGTGCTTCAGGTCTGCACTCAAGCACCACCTTCTCAGGGAGGTCTTCCCGTGCCTCTATTTAAAGCACATCTCTCCCACCCACCTCCACTTGCTGTTCTTCACCCAATCTTCCTTCCCTGGAGTTTATCAACACCTAAGAGATAACAAATATTAATGTTCTTATCCTTCTTTCCCTACTACATACTGTCTCCAGGATCTACAAAACTATACAAAAGTCAGTATAAACCTGTCTGTAAATATTTGCTAAACTGTTTATGGAAGACAGCCAAGGGAAGCTGGGGAAGTTCCTATGTTCCTACATTATGTGGAATCTATAAAGTGAAATGGGGAAGGGGGGGGACACTCAAGGATTTTTTTATGCACACATACACAAAAAAGAAAGCAGTCTACAAAAGTGAGAACAAAAGGAGAGTTTGTTAAAATAGGAAAACTATTTAAAGACATTTTTAATGCTAACAGAAGTTATTTCAGTGTTGTGAAATTATGGATAATTATGTTTAATCCTTAAGATTATTGTTTATTTCTCAGTTATTTACAGTGAACTGATTTATTTTTGTATTTGAAAATATTTTTTAGGGTTGAGGATATAGCCAGAGGTAGAGTACTTCTCTGTTTTGCACAAGGCCTTGGGTTTGGTCTCCAGCATCATAAATTTTATCAATGGAAAACTTATCACTCTGGTCCAAAAGAGGTCAAGGATGTCTCCTGAATCACATGCAGAGCTAACTAGCTGGTCACCAAACTTTTGGCAAAGAGTTTGTCCTTTGGTTCTTTATATCAATGGCACTCATTAAAGACTTATAGGGAGGTATCAGGAGTCATTATATTGACAAAGGATATCTGTCACTGCATATCATATTTAAGGAAGAAAAAATAACCTCATTCTACTTCTTTTTATTCATTTTAATATGCAAATGCAAAAAAAAGTTTCTTAATTCCATTACTTGATTAAATATATATTGTAAGAGTATTTATAGGTTTGTCAAAAGCACAAACAATAACAACAACAAAAACATTTCAAAGACATATTTGTTTATATTTGGTGTTCAGGAAAACCACAGCACCTCCATAATGGTTATTTTCCTATTACACTGTTAGACAAAGAACTGGAGGCTGTGTAATATTATACATGTTAGCATTTGGGTAGAATTTATGTTTGCAACTGTTTTGCTTAAATATATAATATGAATGCAAAAAAAAAAAAAAAAGAAAATGCCAGAACTAAAATTCCTTCTCATTGTTTGGTCTAAAGCATTGTTGATGAAACCAGGAGATATTATGCTCAAATCTTTGATTTTATTTCAGCAACTTCTAGAAAACATAGTAATGGAAAAATACATTGATATTATTATATGTTTAAATTTAGTATGTAGCTCAAATTAATTTTGCAATGTTCCATTTTAAGCTTTTCCAATAAAAGACTTGTATATTTCATTCTTTAGTATAAATAATTTTCAGTGTTCTCAGTGAAAACTGCTACTCGATTTGCAGAGCAGATCTATGTTATTGAACTTCAAAGCTTTTTAATAGGGATAAATTGTAGTGATTATAACCAAAAGAATAATTTTAAAGTTCCCCTCCAAAGAAAAGAGGATGAGATACTATGGCTATATGTGATGCTAAATAAAAGCTTTATTCTTGTCAGTATAAGTAAATTAAATAATTTGGGATATGGCAGATATCTTTTGAGAGCATCATAGTTTATGAGATTGATTATCACAAAGAGAAGTTAAATTAGTCAGAAAGGACAATGAGGAAAATACACAGTGAGCTTTCTCTGTCCTAGGATACAGGGAGCCGAGCTGGCCACTGCAGACTGCTTCAGAATGCAGGCTCCCTGGCAGGTATGTAACCATCCTCACTCAGCTGTCACGATCAGCTGGCACTGCTGCAACTCATCAGCTGTCAATGGCAGAGGTGCTCAGGTTCCAAATCCCCCATGGAGACTGTGGAACTATTTTAACTTCTTTTCCACAGGTTTCACTCTGTCCTCTCCTCGGGTTTCTGACATGTCCCAGGATAACCGTCATCAAACCCGAAGTCTACCAACACTTTTTAAGGGTTCAGGGAATGCAGGCAGCGTGAGGTACATCCAATTTACAAGGGTCTCTTCAATATGAATCCTCCTAAGAGCACACTTCTGCCAATATCATTTTTTAAAAATTCTGTTTCATCAGAGAATGGCAAATCTCTCATCTGACTAGACCCTTTCTTTGGAAACACTTCTCTGGGGTGTAAACTCTGGAACCTATCAAACAAAGGGACAATTTTGTATACTGGCAGTCAGATGAGAAAGTGAATGACTCTAATGACTAGTTATAAAATTCTTTCACAATTCTTCAAACAAATTGAAGGAAGTAATTGAGCTGTCAATAATAAGTTATTTAAAATGACTTTGATGACTTATTACTAAAAGTTTTTAATGTATAATGAGAAGGAATTTGCAATAGGCTGAATAATAGACCCCCAAAATAACTCCAGATGAATTCCTGTGAATGTCATCTTCTATGAAAAAGAAAAAAAAAGACTGCAGATGTGATCAAATTAAAGATCTTCAAAATGAGATTTTCCTGGACTATCTAGGAGGGACCTTATAAGAAAGAGGGATTATATTTGGTGCAGACAGAAGAGGAGAAGGCACACAGACAGAGATTAATGTAAGGCAGCCATGAGCCAAGGAATGCTGACAGCCTCCAGAATCTGCAAGAGGCAAGGAATGTACTCTTCCCCAGAGTACATGCCTGCTGACACCTTAATTTCAACCCACTATTACTGATTTCAGATCTCTAGAGGTCTAAAAGGAAATTTTCTGTTATTTTAAGCAACAAAGTTTGTGATAATTTGTTATAGAAACCACAGGAAACTAATATAGAGTTCAAAGAGTTGAATGGAATTGCCATAACAAACTCCTTCTGTTCTCATCTACTTATCTATAAACATGTTTTGTTTTTTTTAAATCAATGCCTTTAAAAATAAACAGGGAATAAAACTATTGTTGAACCCTGTATCCCTTGAGTAATGAATTCTTTATAACTTATTAAAAGAAGCTTTAAAAACTCTCCATGGTTCATAATACAAAACCTCATTTCCAATTAAAAAAACAGAAGTTCAGTGGATTAGACAAAGGGGAATGAAGGAAAGGGAGAGAGGATAGAAATAGGAAAGACAAGTGGTTTAAATCTGACGCAGCTTTCCTATGTACATATATGAATAGAACACAGTGAAACTCAACATTGTGTACATCCACAAGACTAGCATTTGAAGCAGAATAAGACATACTCCATGTTTGTATAAATATGACAAAATAGACTCTACTGTCATGTACAATTTAAAAGAACAAATACATTTTTTAAAAAAAATTGAAAAGGTTAATCTTTATATCCTCAAAATGTAAAGGAGTTCTTTATAATTTTCAAGTAAAATCTATGGTGCACATCACTATTAAGAGAATGACAAGCTGGGCATGGTTGTAGAAGCCTATAATCCAACTGGCTGGGGAGGCTGAGGGAGGAGGATCGTGAGTTAAGAGTCAGCCTCATCAAAATCAAGGCACTAAGTGACTCAGTGAGATGTTGTCTCTAAATAAAATACAAAATAGGGCTGGGGTATGTGGCTGAGTGGTTAAGTGCACCTGAGTTCAATCCCCAGTACCCTCCCCTCCCCCCAAAAAGAGAGAGAATGACCATTGGGAATTGAGGGTGTAGCTCATTGGTAGACATCATGCAAGGCCCTAGGTTTGATCCCCAGCACCACAAAAAGAGTAAAACAAAAAAGAAAGGAGGGATGATGGGGTGGGGGGATAACTACTATGGATACTTATAATTGCCCATACTGCCATCAACATAAAAAAATAGTCCAAATAACATTCTGTTTTGTCAACTTCTCAAAAAAAAGTTTAATTGTGTTTCCAAAGATTATTATAAAATTTATCTTTCCTTCAATTTGAACTCAGAGCTGGTATGGCTCTGTGAACCTATACTCTTGAAGTTGAGGCAGGAGAATCCCTTGAGCTCAGGAGATCAAGATCAGCCTCAGCAACATAGTGCAACCCAACTTCAAAAAGAAAAAAAAAGAAAAAAGAAGAATACAATTTAAACACTATGTTTTAGTTCTAAAATTCTGATATATCATTATTTAAACAAGGAACAATGCTAAATTTATAATATTTCTATTCTTGTTTCCATTTGGTGCTATATTCTTGACTAATCACCAACAATGAAAAATAAAAAGTAAAGAAAAGATCTGATCATATTCCCTTTTGTTTACTTTTATATATCTGAAGAAAATCTTTGTCACATGACCTACAGGGCACAAAAAATGATGCAACATTATGATTCTGTATCCTTACCTAGACCTATATGAGGCAGGTGTTCAAAAAGGGTCCAACTGTGGTCATCAATGTAATGATTCTTCAGGATCAACAGCTGGCAAACATCTCGGGCTGTTATGTCACTGGGTACCTCTAAAGCCCTGCTGGTTTCATCTTCACTGTACACTTTAATCACCTGTGTAAGGAGAAAAAAGAGAGCTAAAATATTCTTGTTTGATTTTTTAAAATAAATTTTATTGCATACATTAAAGGTATACAACATGTTGTTTTAAGATAAAATATAGCTAATTAATTAGTTATTATAGTGAAGTGAATTAACATATCCATCATCTCACATGGTTACCTATTTCTTGTGTATGGCAAGAACAATTTAAATCTACTCATTTGGTAAAAATTCCAAATACAATGACTAACTTAGTCCTCATGATATACATTAGACCTTTGGAAATGTCAGTCCTATATATCTGTTAGTTTGTATCTTTGATCTATGTCTCCCATTCCCCTTCTCCTCACTCTGTCCCTGTTTCTGTATTTTAATTTCTTAATAAAAGAAGATACCACATGCAACTGAAATCATGCAATATTTTTCTTTCTCTGTCTGGCTATTTCACTTAGCATAATTTCCACCAGGTTCAGACATGTTGTAGTGAATGACAGGATCTCCCTTTTTAAAGCTTAATAAATATTCCATTGTGTATTTTTATGTGCATATACAACTGAGTATATACACACATCCATGGTTCTTTTTATCTATTCATCCTTTGATGGAACATTTAGATTGTTTCCATATCTTGGCTATTATTATTGATAATGTTGCAATAGACATGGCAGTGCAAATATCTTCAAGAGGTAGTGATTTCATTTCCTTTGGGTGTACCCAGAAGAGGGATATCTGGGTCATATGGTCATCCTGTATTTAATTTCTCTAGAAACTTCCAAACCATTTTCCAAAATGCCTGAACTGATCTAAATTCCTACCAACATTTCCCTTTCTTTATATCCTCACCAATACTTCCCTTATCTTCAGAACAGTCATCCTAAGGGCTTTCTGGTGATATTTCATAGTGGGTCTGCATTTCCTGATGGTTAGTGATGATCTGCACCTTTCCATATACTTGTTGGACATTTTTCTGTCTCCTTTGGAGAAATGTATATTCAGGACCTTTGCCCATTGTTTTTCTGCTATCAGGTTGTAAGGATTGTTCTTTTATATATGAATCTTCATCAGATATGTGATTTCAAAGATTTTCCCCAATCCATAAACAGCTTTTTCACTAAAATATTTAATTAAAATAACATTCTAATAAGCCAGTTTACTAGTTGAGCTGATTATACTAATTTTCTTATACACTGAATGCTACCTAACCAAAAGTTATTTGTCAAGGTCACTTTGTCCAACAAACTCCATTTTTTTTTTTGCATTGTCTAAACTAAAAGCCATTCAATGAGTATTCAAAAAATTTCCCCCACCACTTTGCTCTATTTAAAAATCTATATATCTCTTATCAATACTTTCAGTTTCCCATTCCATATTTAAATCTTGTACATAATCCCAGTAATGTTAGTGATTTATTCCCAGGTGCATTTATGTAGTATGGAACAAAATCAGACTGTTCGAAAACATTTTTCCATTTCAGGTATAGAAGTTTGGGCAAATACTGGATAGATGCTCACCACATCCTTTTCTTTACTCCCTTGCAATTAATGTTGCCAGCAGATTGAGTTTGAGTCAGTGGAATGTGTGTGTAAGGACTGCTGCACTTCCAGGATGCCATAAAATTCTCCCAAATTTCATCCCCTTTTCATTCCACACCCCCACTGAATGGAAACAGCTGTGTGGATAGCCCAAGGGAAAAGGAAAATCATGGGACAGAATGAGGGTTTGTCCTTAAATGATTTTGAGGAAGATGTTTAACTGAGAAAAGTCATTATGAAACAATAACATGAGCAAGAGATAAATTTCTGTTGTGCTGACTCACTGTATATTAGGATTTATCTATTAGATCAGCCAGTGTTACCCTCAATTATATAGAATCAGAGTTTTATATAAAATACCCCATCAACATTTATCAAGCTGTGCTCTGGACTAGAATTTCCAATATTAACTATTCTATGTGTTAATTAAGTAAAAGAAGATAAATTCCTATGACAATAGTATGGTAAGATCACATATAAACACACAACTGGGAAATGAGAGGAAAATTCAATATAAGAAGTATGCCTATTTTAAGAACATTGAAATGTCTGCATTTTTAGAAATTTGAACAAATGCTAAACAAAATGATATTCAATTTTGTCCTATCAATTATTTTTTAATTATACTTAATGACAATATAATGAAATAATTACTTTCCTACAATGATGGGAGTGATATAAAATGGTAAAAATATTTTGTACATCTATTAGAGAATATTTATTAAAAGCATTAAAAGTTCCATTCCTTGAACATAGTAATTGCACATAAGCAAACTATCTCAACAAACCTGTGCTAAGTGTACAAAATGGCTTTGGGCATTGACATGTCCAATGAAGTATTATTTAGAATTCTACCAACTTAAACATTCAACAGTAAAAGAAAGGTAAACTTTCACAGAATGGAATATTATATGGTCCTTAAAACTGTTATCCAAATAAACTACCTAAGAATGTGTACAAATTCTTAAATGGAATAGTACATACTTACTTGTTGGCTTTGGGTACCTGGCACCACTCCTCTTTATGGCACCATTTTGATTTTCTTTTAAAGTACCATGCCCTACCTCACTTGCAATCCTTGTGATTCTGGCAGCTCTTTCTTCAGCCCAAAGATGGTGTGCTGGAGCTGCTGCAACTGGCCTACAGGAGCTGACTGTTAAACATTCAGAAATCATGCAAGTCAGGCATCTTCAAATTAGCCATGATGGAAGTATTTATACTAAAGAAACTAATAAATGCCATAAATACTAAGGCTTTTAAAAAGCCTTTTTTTCTTTCTAATTTTTAAAGCCAATTTATAAGTGCATAACTGCCTCCACTCCAACCTCTGTTCCAAGGTGGAAGGTATTTCCTAGTTTGACCAATCAGTATCCAGATGCCCCTGACAGCAGTTATTATTTAACAGAGGCAAATGACCTATTCAGAGCCAGAGCCAATGCAAATTGCTATTCCATAACCATAGAAGACACCCTCTTTTCTACTGGGCTTAAACTTGGGAAGACAGTAGGCCAAAGCTGTGACTGTTAATCATTGTTGGTATATAAATCATACTGCAAAAATTTAAATGCTTGTTTCTACACAAATTCTTATGTTGAAACTCTAATCCCAAAGTGAAGGTATTTGCAGGTGAGACCTTTGGGAGTGATGAAGTCATGAGGGTGGAGCCCTCCTCTATGGGATTAGTGTCTTATGGAATTGGTCACTCTGTGATAAACACTTGCAACCCATTCTTTCTTGATTGCACATGTGATATCCTCCACCTGGAATATATTTCAAAGCTCCCATCACCAATAACATGTTTTCTTTGGCCAATTCCTACATAAATTTGACCACAGTTCCAATAGAACTGTCTCCAGAAAGTCTACCCTAACTACCCAAGGCTTTGTAATATGCCCTTTCACGTGATTTTTTTTTTTTGTAATTATTTGTCTGTGTGTCTTTCTCCTCAGGCATGCTAACAAGCTCCTTTAAGGAAAATCTCCATTTATTCACCATGTATGACTGTATCACGAGGAACTAGCCTGGGCAATGCTGGCTTAATAAAAGTCTTCGGAGTGAGTGAACTTTGGACTCACTGCAAACCTGTCAGCATTTTGCTCATAACAAGTACTCAAAACCTATTTATAACATTTACCTTAGAAATATTTTCTGTCATGAAGTATGTGATTTTTACTTGAAATTTCTATGCTTAGAAAATTAAAATTCTTTTCAGTAGAAATAGATAGGCAATTTTTCATCATAAAAATTTTTTAGGTAAGAATTGACTCCAGGTTGCAAATCTGGGTTTTAATCTTTGAGATGGCCATAAAGTCATCTGAACAAGATCATGAAAATATGTTTTGAAGCCAGTTATGATTGTCTACAAATCTACATTTACTTTGTTACCTAACACATGCAGGTCACTAAGATGCTGGGATCTTTCTGTAGTCTCAGCATAGCCCAGGTTTGCACCTGGGTAGACTATGTTTGCAAGTATTGCATCTGTGCTAGAAAACTGGTGGCATTCTAAAGGATGCTCCCACTATACATTCATGCTGTTGTAGTCAAACTGACTGGACCAAGCATGGTGGGTGCTTCTGGCAAAAGCAATGTAAAAATGCCCACTTCTGAGAGGACAATAGGCTGCCACTCTGGACTGCTCCTTTAGGTGGAGCAATGGTGAGTCACTGCTGCAGCTCCTTGCTGCACATACCAGGCCAGAAATGGGGAGAATGACCAGTGGCTACTGCAAAGGTTCCCTTCACCTCCTCACTATTCCCATGTATTTTCTTGCAGGAAACACTCATCACCTGTGATCATAGAAGCATGCCTCTTATTTTACATGCTCTGTCTTCTACTTTAAAGAGGCTAAGAAAATGTAAAACTAGGGCATTCTGAAGCCTCAGCCAGAATAGAAAAGAGGGAAAGAACAGAGCAGGAGGTAAAATTGGGGAAAGTGAGAAATTTAACTAACCAATCGGGAAATGCCATTGTTTTGTTCAGACTATGTTACTGCGAATATGAAAAAAAAATAAATTGCTGAGAATTGAAAGACACAAATTTAGAGGGTGTAAGCCAACTTAAACTTCTGGCATAAGCACACATATTCATTTTTAAAATAAATAAAATCTACTGAGAGAAAAACTTAAGACTTTTGTTTGAACTCCATTTCAAACCCTTATTTTTTAAAATCCTATTTAATGCTGATATTTATCCAAAATACACATTTGTCTATGAATGGTATAATTATACCTAGGTTAATATTGCACAGGAGTAAATCCTGTCATCTCTGAGATCCATTCAGTGATTATGAAGACTTTTTTCACTACCAGTGCAGTACCACTGTTAAAAACTATTTAATTTATATCCATTTCTCCCTTAAATACGTTAAAAAGGAAATATCAATCTAAGCCTTATGTCTCTAGAAGAGTTGTGTGTTCCTATTGCAGAAAGTATGCTCAATCTTCCTGTTTCAGGAAAAAAGTCAACTCATCAGAAACG